GGGTGAGGGCCGTCTGGCCCAGGTCCGGGCGGTTGGGGTGAGGGCCGTCTGGCCCAGGTCCGGGCGGTTGGGGTGAGGGCCGTCTGGCCCAGGTCTGGGTGGTTGAGGTCAGAAGTCAGTGAACCTCTCTGGAACTGAAGTGAGCCCACTGGACACGTCTGGTCTGGATCCACAAGTCTGGACTCCTGACACCCTTGAACCTCATATCTGGGCAGGGGGAGAGCTGGGGGTGTGAATACCTTCCCTCTACTCTTGGCTCCCACCCACTTTCCTCTCAGTGGCTGTGAGGACCCCTACGGCAGGGGCCGGGAGCCTGACAATCCACAGTCACGGAGAGTCCTGTGATGCACCCCCCTGCACCTCCAGGGGCTCAGTGCATTTGTGAATTAACCGAGATGTGCAACTACCACCGGAAAGTTCTAGAAGCCCTGGATAGGGGTGGTAACTCATTATAATTTTTATCACTATAAAATCCCTTAGGAAATACCATCTTATAGCTTAAGATGCCTTGTCCACCTTAATGATATTTTAAACAGATCCTAGGGTTGGCCTTTGTCTGAGGTCTTCACTATGACCCACCATAAGTGTGGAAAGACTCTGGGAGGCTTAGGGTCAGCCGCCTCATACAACAGCTTGTGTACAGTTGGGAGCTGTTTCTTTGTGCAGGGATTTATGGCATCCGGTGCTTAGATGTATTGATTCTTGCGCTTGTTTTGTTTTTGATTTTTAAAGAATATGTGTTGCCATCTGTAGGTGCCTTCCTGCTAGCCAATCCCTCATTCCCGGGAAACAAGATTCCCTGGATTTGACACACAGAGGAGTTTTTGCCTCTAGGCTTTTGCCTGTTCTACAGGTTTCATGTCAGTGGGTTCATACAATATTAGTGTCTGACTTGTTTCACTCAACATCATGCGTTCAAGTTTCATTCGTGTTGTGGCATATGTATCAGAACTTCATTTCTCTTTGTGGCTGAGTAGCATTCCACTGTATGGACGTATCACATTTTGCTGATCCACCACCTGTTGATGGATGATGGGGTTGTCTCCACCTCTGGCTAAAATAGTGCTGCAGTGAACACTGGTGTTTAAGTATCTGTTTGCGTTCCTGCTTTCAATTCTTTTGGGTATATACCTAGGAGTGAAATTGCTGGGCCGTATGGTAATGCTATGTCTAACTTTTTGAAGAACCGTCACACCGTTTTCCACAACGGCCGCACCGTTTGACATTCCCACCAGCGATGGATGAGGACCCCAATTTCTCCACCCCACTTTCTGTTTTCTGTTCTTCTGATAATAAACATCCTAACAGTGTGAAGTGATATCCCACGCAGTTTTGATTTGCATTTCCACATGACTAATGATGTTGAGCATCTTTTCTTGTGCTTTTTGGCCATTTGTATATCTTCTTTGGAGAAATGTCTATCCAGGTCCTTTGTATTTTGCCCATTTTTTGATTGAGTTGTTTGTCTTTTTGTGGTTGAGTTGTTGGGCAATAGAATTTTGATTAGAACGTTGAATAATAACAGAAATGTCCCCTGTATACATTTTCATGATACCAGTTAAAGGAATGAAACTGTCTTACATAAAGAATGATGTTTAAGAAATAAAGAAACTCAAACTCTCAGCCCCTGCAATTGACTCTTGCCTTAAAAGAAAACAATTTTCTAATTAAGTCACGATGAGCACGAACTAATGTTGGCTCAGAGCTGCATCTCGATGGTTTCTTGGCTGTGACATGGACCACATGTGCTCACGGTCTCGCAGTCCGTCCCTCTGCAGCCTGAGGCCTCATGGTTCCATGATGGCCCACCGTCTCCCTCCAGCCGGTATCTGCAGAAATTTATCTGGGAAATCTCTGGTCCTCTGTGGCCTGCATATGTTTTTCCCATCTCATATTTTCACTCCTGCATTCCTTCTCTCAGCACTAGAAATGCCTGCTTCGTCCAGACCAGCCCACGAGGAAAACCACCCGCCGTGCAATCCCACGATGCTCATCAAATGGCAGCTCTTCACGTGGGCCCTTGGTGCCCAGCGCCCTCAACATGTTGGAGAAACCCACGTTCGAGGAACAAAGGGGTATCTAGTCTATAAACCAGCTATACGTACATGTCTGTCTATCTGCATTGCACACGCAGACGGGCTGTGCCTCAAACTTCCAGGCAGCCGTGATACTGCTGGGAATGAGGTGTGTACACCCACTGGCATCAGCCGTTCCATGGGTGCTGCGTTCGTCTGTGATCCAGCCAGACAAACGAGATACACAGTGTTGGCAAGGTGAAAGCCATTGTTATTATTCATAGAGAGCAAAGAGTAAACAATAACGATAGACCCCCACGGGGGAAATGCTTTCCCTTCCCCAAATTACCCACGTGCATTCTTATGTCAACGGGCAGGCGCACCGTGGTGCAGGTCAGATGCCGTGTTCACCTCACTGCTGCCCCCAGCTACCACTATGCTGTCTGGGGAGCCTGCAGGGCTCCTGAGACTTCTGCTCTGCTGCTGGGCTTTGCCAGGCCTCACTGCCCACTGGAAGACCCTGCACAGGATCTCCTGAGCCTCTGCCGCTGGGCAGCACTGCCCACTGGAAGACCATGGCTAGAAATGCCATATAAAAGTGATTCATGGCACCACACCAGCTATTCTGAAAACGTGGTGATTTGGCTTCTTTCTAAGCTCCGTGGTTACAAAGCTACACAGCAGAAACCCTGGCCAGGAGTCAGTGACCGTGGCTGCATCACAACCGACAAATCCTGGGAGGTGGAGACGATGCGAGCAGTCCACGTACGTGGTTTCTGCGGGGAGGGGCTTGAAGTCTTGATGGACATTCCAGCATGTCTTATGTAAACAACCACAATCATGATGATATTATTACAGCAGCGATACTTTTTAAAGCGTGCTCCATGTCGAGGACTGTGATTAAGTGCTGTAAATGTATCGTCTCAAGAATTCTCTGCGTTAGGCCTTACGATCCCCATTTTAGAAACGAGGAGACTGAACGGTGTAATGAACATGCAGTGCTATGTGGACACTGAACTTCCATTCGGTTAGTTTTGCTGCCAGCAGCCGCGGTCTTCCATTCTAGCCCTGTACTGCCAAGCGACGTCTTGTCACCTGTGGAAGTGAACTCAGTCCACTGCTCTTGGTAACAGTGGCGTCACCAGGGTGTGTCCCTCGGTGCCGTAACTCATGATGCCATCCCCCCCGTGGACCTTCTCCCATATCAGATCTGACAGAATCCTTCGTAATGTTTTTTGTATTAATGCTACTCGTAAATCTTAATTCCCATACATCACTCCTTCTTTAATTACTACTTCATTCTCAAAAAAGTTATTTATATAGGCTCCCAAATACGAATTACCACAATATTGTAGCTAAAACACCAAAAAATTTGATGAAATCAGCGACTATAAAAACACCAGCAGCAATGAAAACAACAGCGTGTGCTTGTACCGTGTGCAGACGATACCACATGATTCGAAGCGTCACTGTAATTGGGTAATAATGACGGCTCTGACCAGAGCGCTACAGAAGGTTCAAAAAATAAGTTAGCACACAGTTTTAGCCTTGTGGGTATACTGATACATGTAAGCTGGGCTTATGAAAAATGTTTTTTTGTTATAACTAACTACAGGGATTATTTTTATAAAAAATAATAAATTTCTGCTGAAACACTACACAAAAATTTTAGACAGTCACCCCGTCACCCCCTCTGACTGTGTCACCCAGTGTAGTCCGCACCCCCTCCACCCCTATACTGCTTGGTAAGCCTGAATGTACCTCTTAAGCACCAGAAGCCCCTGGGATGATGTGTATAAACATAGGGTTGGAAACAAAGCTCTGAGTGACTTTAGGTATACATCTCCCCTCCGGACACGGGAAAACAAGCTGTGAGGCCACAGCTGCTGAAGGCTTGTTCTTACAGGGCAGTGCTGAGGCTGTGCTCACCGGGGTCTCCCACAGCATGCCGAAGACATCAGCTTAGGCATCTCCTAATTTAACCGAAGTAGGGAGTCCCTGTGGCACTGATGGTTAAGTGCTTGGCTTCTAATGAAAAGGTTGGTGGTTCGAACCCACCTAGAGGTGCTTTGGAAGAAAGCCCACGTGATCTGCTTCTGAAAGGTCACAGCCACGAAAACTCTATGGAGCACAGTTCCACCCTGCACATGTGGGGTCACCACGAGTCAGAATCGACTCGACCCAATGGCATGTTCCCTACCTCTGACTTATACACTTCCGGGCCTGAGGAACACAGTTGTGTGACTTTTTAGAACATAGTACATGCTGTGCACCGTGCAAGGACTCTTGGGCTCATACGCTGCCTCCCGTGATATCTTATCCTCCAACGACATTACCCGCTAGATCTGTTATTACCCCATTTTACAGTTGAGGAAACCTAGGCTTCAGATGTAAAGCAATTGCGCAAGGCTGCTATGGACAGCATACCTGACTCCAGGTGGTCCAGGTGCCAAGGGTCAGTGGCGGCTGACATGGGGGAGATGGTCAGTGGGGAGGCACCGCAGTTGGACTCCACAAGCTGTCCCTGCACGTGGACCTGGGCCGATGCGTTCGTCTGCCGCAGGGCAGCCTTGAGGGGGGTGATGCGGTTGAATTGCACCCTGGAGAGGCAGCCGGTGAAGCCCGGGGTGTTGTACTTGTGGATCTCGGGGTCAATCTTCCCTGTTTCTACAAGAAAAAGGAAGAGAAATTAAAATCTTATCCAGCTAACTATATTATAGCTCTAAAGCATACTTGTGTCCAAGTCTTACTCCCAGGTTTCAGTTTAAGATGTTCTACAGGGTCAGAGAAAATGAGCAAAACCCTCCATAAGATGGACTGACACCGTGGCTGCAACAATGGACTCAACCATGCCAACGATCACGAAGATGGCGCAGGACTGGGCAATGTTTCGTTCCGTTGTACAAAAGGTAGCCATGAGTCGGAGCTGACTCCCGGCAACTAACACCAATTCTTTTAGATGAAATACTAATGACTTGGTAAGGCCTGGGGTTAGATACTTCATTGTCTAAAAGTCTCTGTGTTCCTGAGAATGTGGCAGAGTACAGTGAATCGAAATGTAGTTGTTAAAACAAAATACGTTCACAATTATCTTCCAGACCCTTGAGATATGAGTTGGAACTGACTTAACGGCATCTAACACCACCACTCACTTTTATGACAGACTTTTCTCTTTTCTGATGCCTCCTTGGCCTCTTGTGATGTTGTTGGGGGCCACTGTAGTGACCCTAAGTACAACAGCGGGAAACACTGCCCAGTCCTGCACCATCCTCGCTATCACTGTTATGCTTGAGCCCATTGTTGCAGCCACTGTGTCAATCCATCTTGTTGAGGGTCTTCCTCTCCTTCGCTGACCCTCTACTTTACCAAGCATGATGTCCTTCTCCAGGGACTAGTCCCTCCTGAAACATATCCAAAGTACATGACATGAAGTCTTGCCATACTTGCTTCTAAGGAGCTTTCTGGCTGTACTTGTTCCAAGATAGATTTATTTGTTCTTCTGGCAGTCCATGGTATATTCAGTATTCTTCCCCAACACCATATTTCAAAGGTGTCAATTCTTCTTTGGTCTTCTTTGTTCATTGTCCAGCTTTCCCATGCATATGAGGCTATTGAAAATATTGTGGCTAGGGTCAGGTGCACCTTGGTCCTCAAAGTGACATCTTTGCTTTCCAACACTTCAAAGAGGTCTTTTGCAACAGATTTGCCCAATGCAATACGTCTTTGGTTTCTTGACTGCTGCTTCCATGGGTGTTGACTGTGGATCCAAGTAAAATGAAATCCTTGACAACTTCAATCTTTTCTCCACTTATCATGATGTTGCTTATTGATCCAGTTGCGAGGACTTTTATTTTCTTTATGTTGAGGTGTAATCCATACTGAAGGCTGTAGTCTTTGATCTTGGTCAGTAAGTGCTTCAAGTCCTCTTCACTTTCAGCAGGCAAGGTTGTCTCATCTACATAACACTGGTTGTAACTGAGTATTCCTCCAATCCTGATGTCCCGTTCTTCCTCATACAGTGCAGCTTCTTGGAATATTTGCTCAGCATACAGATTGAATAAGGATGGTGAAAGAATACAACCCTGACACAACTTTCCTGATTTTAAATCACACAGTATCCTCTTGTTCTGTACGAAAGACCGCCTCTTGGTTTATGTACAGGCTCCACATGAGCACAATTAAGTGTTCTAGAATTCCCATTCTTCTCAATGTTATCCATAACTTGTTATGATCCACAGAGTCGAATGCCTTTGTATAGACAATAAAACACAGGTAAACATCTTTCTGGTATTCTCTGTTTTCAGCCAAGATCCATCTGACATCAGCAATGATATCCCTCGTTCCATGCCCTATTTTGAATCTGGCTTGAATTTCTGGCAGTTTCCAGTCAATATAATGCTGCAACCGTTTTTGAATTATCTTCAGCAAAATTTTACTTGTATGTGATATTAATGATCTTGTTCCATAACTTCCATATTCTGTTGGATCACCTTTCTTTGGAATGGGCACAAATATGGATATCTTCCAGTCAGTTGGCCAGGGAGCTGTCTTCCAAATTTCTTGACATAGATGAGTGGGCACTTCCAGCACTGCATCCATTTGTTGAAACATCTCCATTGGTATTCCCTCAATTCCTACAGCCTTGTTTTTCACTAATGTCTTCAGTGCAGTTTGGACTTCTTCCTTCAATACCATTGGCTCTTGATCATATGCTACCTCCTGAAATGGTTGAACATCAACCAAGTCTTTTTGCTATAGTGTGAATCTGTGTGTTCCTTCCATCTTCTTTTGATGCTTTCTGCGTTGTTTATTATTTTCCCTGTAGAATCCTCCAATATTGCAACCTGAGACTTGAATTTTTTCTTCAGTTCTTTCAGCTTGAGAAATGCTGAGCGTGTTCTTCCCTTTTGGTTTTCTAACTCCAGGTCTTTGCACATGTCATTATAATACTTTACTTTGTCTTCTCAAGCCACCCTTTGAAATTTTCTGTTCAGCTCTTTTACTTCATCGTTTCTTCCATTTGCTTTAGCTACTCTACATTTAAGAGAAAGTTTCAGAGTCTCTTCTGATATCCATTTTGGTCTTTTCTTTCTTTCCCATCTTTTTAATGACTTCGTGCTTTCTTCATGTATGATGTCGTTGATGTCATCCCACAACTCGTCTGGTCTTTGGTGATTTGTGTTCAATGCGTCAAATCTATTCCTGAACCATGGTCTCAGGGAACATCTAGCTCAAATGGCATAACATAGTTTATAAAGAAAATGTTCTATATTTTACTTTGGTGAGTAGCATCTGGGGTCTTAAAAGCTTGTCAGCGGCCATCTAAGATACTCCACTGGTCTCACCTGGTCAGGAGCAAGGGAGAATGAAGAAAACTAAAGATGCAATGGTAAGATTAGTCCAAAGGACTAATGGACCACAGCTACCATACCTTTCACCAGACTGAGTCCAGTACAACTAGATGGTGTCTGGCTACCACCATTGACTGCTCTGACAGGGATCAGAATAGAGGGTCCTGGATAGAGCTGCAGGAAAATGTGGGACAAAATTCTAACTCACAAAAAAAGATCAGACTTATTGGCCTGACAGAGACTGGAGAAACCCTGAGAGTATGGCCCCTGGACACCCTTTTAGCTCAGTATTGAAGTCACTCCTGAGGTTCACCCTTTGGCCAAAGATTAGGCAGGCCCATAAAACAAAATGAAACTAAAGGGGCACACCAGCCCATCGCCAAGGACTAGAAGGCAGGAGGGGACAGGAAAACTGGTAATAGGGAACCCAAGGTCAAGATGGGAGAGTGTTGACATGTCATGAGGTTGGTAACCAATGTCACAAAACAATATGTGTACTGTTTAAAGAGAAGCTAGTTCATTCCGTAAATATTCATCTAAAGTACAAAAAAAAGTCACACAGTACTTGACACAAAGTGGGTGCTCAATAAATATTAGTTGTATATATTTGCTATTTAACAACTTACATAGCATTCACCACCCACAAGGTATTATTCTAAATGTTTAAAGGTATCAACTCATTTAATACTGAAAACAACTCCATAATGTAGATACTAAAACTATGCTGTCCAGTATGGCAGCCACCAGTCCTATGTGGCCACCGAGCCCTTGAAACATGGCTGGTGTAACTAAAGCGCTGAATTTTTAAATTTGATTTAATTTTAATTAATTTCAACTTAAAAACCAATACTCAATTAAGTTACTAGAAAACTCTTAAGTACGTTTGGAACAACTCGTGTGTGAGAATCTACTTTTCAATGATAAGATCAAGTATTTCCAATAAAAATGTGGCTAATCTCAAGTGCCACCACCTACCTGTCAATTTGTCGTACTGCGGTGGCTTGCCTGTTGCTGTGATGCTGGAAGTTATGACACCAGTATTTCAAATACCAGCAGGGTCACCCATGGTGGACAGGTTTCCATGGAACTTCCAGACTAAGACAGACTGGAAAGAAAGGCCCAGTGATCTACTTCCAAAAATTAGCCAAAAAACCCCCTATGGATCACAATACAATATTGTCTGATACAGTGCTAGAGCGCCCTCTAGGTTGGAAGGCACTCAAAAATACACAGTGGCCGCAACAGTGGACTTGCACATGTGAATAGTCATGAAGATGGTACAGGACAGGGTAAAAAAAAAAATCTCTTCTTGAGATGGTCTCTAAATTCAGGTGGGATATACTCAAAGTCGTACTTTGGTTCTCATGGACTTGTTTTAATTTTCTTCAGCTTCAGCTTGAACTTACATATGAACAACTGATGGTCTGTTCTGCAGTCGACCCCTAGCTTTGTTCTGATAATATTGAGCTTTTCCACTGTCTCTTTCCACTGATGGAATCAGTTTGATTCCTGTGTATTCCATCTGGCAAGGGCCATGTATATAGTCGCCGTTTATATTGTTGAGAAAAGGTATTTCCAATGAATAGGTTGTTGGTCTTGCAAAATTCTATCACGCGATCTCAGGCATTGTTTCTATCACCAAGGCCATATTTTCCAACTACTGATCCTTCTTCTTTGTTTCCAACTTTTGCATTCCAATCACCAGTAATTATCAATGCATCTTGATTGCATGTTTGATCAATTTCAGACTGCAGAAGTTAGTAAAAATATTCAGTTTCTTCATCTTCGGCCTTAGTGGTTGGTGTGTAAATTTGAATAATAGTTCTATTAACTGTTCTTCCTTGTAGGCATATGGATATTATCCTATCACTGACAGTGTTGTACTTCAGGATAGATCTTGAAATGTTCTTTTTGATAATGAATGCAATGCCGTTCCTCTTTAATTTGTCATTCCTGGCATAGTAGACCATATAATTGTGATTCAAAATGGCCAGTACCAGTCCATTTCAGCTCACTAATGCCTAGGATATCTATCTTCAAGTGTTCCATTTCATTTTTGACAACTTCCAACTTTCCTAGATTCATACTTTGTACATTCCACATTCCGATTATTAATTGATGTTTGCAGCTGTCTCTCATGCCACATCAGCAAATGAAGGTCCTGAAAGCTTGATTCCATCCACGTCATTAAGGTTGACTCTACTTTGAGGAGGCAGCTCTTTCCCAGTTGTATTCTGAGTGCCTTCCAACCTGAGAGGCTCATCTTCTGGCACTGTATCAGACAACGTTCCACCGCTCTTCATAATGTTTTCACTG